TTACTGGGAGACAACTGGGAGACAAGTGGGAGACAAATGGGAGACAAATGGGAGACAAGTATAAAATCATGCGGCCAGAGCACTGAGAGCATCCAGAGCTTACTGGGAGACAAGTGGGAGACAAGGGTGAAATCATGCGGCCCGATGCCTATCTGACTTCCTGATTTGTCCTGGAAACGTAGAGCTTACCCTTTTATGTTTAGTGGCAAATCCAATCGCCCCCCGCCCCCCAAAGTTCGGTTGGGGCAGCTTGTCCACTTGTCCTATGGGCCATAGGCAAAAAGACACACACACACACATAAAAGTAAAAAACAAGATGGAGCCCACGAACCCGAATGCAAACACATACGTCAAACCACTGTGTATAAAAAGAGACACAGCCGGTGGGAATCTCTTTTTCACTCTCTGACACGTTGTTGGACATCATGCGCTGGGGACTCCACCACCAAGGCAGCATGCGCTGGGGACTTCACCACCAAGCTCTGTCTTCATCATGAAGGATTTTTGTTTTGCATTCAAATCAAGCACTGGCGTAAAGGGTCTGGCAGATCCGCGGCACGAAAGAAACAATGGCATTGTCCCAAAATCTCGAAAATAAGCGCTTGAAAATGATAACCGATAACCGTCCACATAATACAGAGAAATCCACAATTGCGGCGTCTGATCTTCTTGTAAATAGGAGTGCAAGACCGTGCGTTGTTGTGTTTCACCTGCATCAACAAGAAGTATATGAGACACACGCAACGGAAGTGAGTAAAACTATCCTATAGGTCATGTAATTAGGACACTCTTGTAGGACACTCTTGTGGGACACTCTTAGAAGACACTCTTGTGGAACACTCTTGTAGGACACTCTTGTGGGACACTCTTAGAAGACACTCTTGTGGAACACTCTTGTGGGACGCTCTTGTAGGACACCCTTGTGGGACATTCTTGTAGGACACTCTTGTGGGACACTCTCGTGAGACACTATTGTGGGACACTCTTGTAGGACACTCTTAGAAGACACTCTTGTAGGAACACTCTTGTGGGACACTCTTGTAGGACACTCTTGTGGGACATTCTTGTAGGACACTCTTGTGGGACACTCTTGTGAGACACTATTGTGGGACACTCTTGTAGGACACTCTT